CGTAGTCTAAGATAACAATTCGCGCTGTGATTGTGGATAGTGATAGAGATAGACAATTCAGTGCTATTCAGTTCACTAGCGATGAACATGTAGCAGAAATAACATGTTCCGTAAATCATTGTTATTGAACATGCTTGTAACATGTTGAACATTTGATATTTAATTAAAAAATGACTTATAAATCATCTTTTTTTTACCCCACAATCTCGCGATTGATATTAATACTCACTTTAATGCTTGGCGACCGAAATAGGTAAGGTGACAGTATTTTCATAGACGAACTCATAAGGAGCAACTATATCTATTTAAATCATCAAATTATTGTATTATTTTTATATTTCAAAACATTCCATGTTTGCTATAATTAATTAACAAAATATCATAAAACTTCAAGAAACGTTACGTTAACTATAATTTCACAATCAGTAAACATATTAATGCTCGTGACTGTATAATTTTTAATCACGAACCAGCTGTATTTTAACCGATACGTTCGATTGGATATCGTCCTCGAATCGAAGGACGCTTTGTGAGCTATTTAGAACATACGCGAAACGCGAAACGTTCGATTAGATTTCAGATACGATACAGTTATATAACAGCGTTTTACGTAGTTAGTCGGTGAAATAGATTATAAGAAAAATGAGACTCCTTTTATATACATTTTTAAGATTTTTCAAGGCTTAAAATATAGAAATGTATTAGTCGTACATTAAAATAAATTAATAAAATTTAACAGAATGTTATATCGTCTGACGTGTGCATCTCTTATATATCGCACCTTCCATAGTGATAGGCACTCAATAATATTTATTTTAATAGTAGATGTACGTATCGGATGCTTAGAACCACTTGATAAGTTACCGAAGAAAACAATCGGACGTTCGGTAACTTTCATTCGATAACTGTGTTCTGAATAACGTTTGTAACCTTTGCCGGTTGAGAAGTTCGAGTAATCGTACGAGTGTGACGTCATTTCGGTTCGGTTTCGAATACTACAGTTTGACGTTCTATCCGGTTATTGTGAATAAAAATGAAAAGAAATCGTGTGACAAATCGAATCGTTCGAAAACAGAGTTATCGTAAGGTCAACATGCAGAAAAGAAATTTTTGTAAGTAGATTTCACTTATGGTTGAATATTAAACGAACAAGAAACGCAAGTCTTAAAAACCTCGCCTCATCAACGGTTAAAGGGTATTTTTAATGATCTATGAAAATAAAATCTCCAGTAAAGCTCTTTAAATTTGGGGTTACCGTAAAAAAATTGTAGATGGGAATGGGTGAAAATTCATATCAATATTTTCTATTTTGTTCATCGATTGTAAGCATTTTTAAACATAATTAAATACATACCAAACTCTCGCTCTGCACGCACTGCAAATTATAATAGAAATAAAAAAAAGTCAGTCAATGTTTTCCGAATGTGCTTCATTAAAAAGGAATCCTATTACTCGGTACGGTTTGCATAACAAACAAGGAAGAAAACATTAATGTGAAAGAACCGTACATCCTTCTATTCCACGCAATTATTTCGTGTAAAATATGATCACCCCACACCGCCGCCGCCACCTCCCTGCGACCGACGACTCACAGTCATTTTTCACTTTTTTTTCACCTTTTTGTTTATAAATAGGATGATTTTTCCTTTTCATATAAAACGTGATGTTACAAAGAACTCGGGTTTTGTAAAAAATACTCGTGCAATTTACTAGGCAAATAATAAAAGGTAAATTTTGCAGCTAGTTTCACAAGTTTATTTTGAATAGAAGACAGAGGGTTAAACGGGTAAATGGAGAGGGCGTCAAAGAATTGACACGGTAATATTTTTAAGTGTTCCGAGGTGCACTACACAGCTAGTTCGGAAAGCAGACGTCTGTTATTGTTTATGCACTTTCCGTAACATATAGACTTTGTTTACGTGAATGTTATTAATATTATAATAACTGTCTTCAAACTGGGTCTTCAAACAATGTGAAATATCAGTAAATCTGTCTAGTCCACTATGTCTTATGGTGCCGAGACATGGTCGCTTAAGCCTGAAGGTTGTGTAAAGATTGAAAGTAGCACAGGGAGCCATGAAGCGTGTCATGCTCGGCTTCAAACCTGTAGAGGTAAGAAGTAAAGGACCGTAAGTCCATATTTTGGAATTTTGACGTTTTTAAAAACATTGCTATAGAATGCTAAAAATGATTTTAAAAAAACAAAAACCCGACAGCAAAAGATTTAGCAGGAAAGAACAAAAATTATACAAAAACCTATTATATAAAATAAAACCCGGCCAGATCAATGTAAAAACTAACTTTTCTATATAGTCTCCGATCTGGGTGTTTGATACCGTCGTTGTTTCCGATTTCCAATACACAAGTAATTAGTTACTTACTTTTAAATAAATAAATAAATATTAGACAACATTATAAATATAGTCCATATTATATAACGTCTGAAAAAAATAGCAATCAAAATTTGCAAAGATATATTTTCTAGTTCGAGATTAAAAGTCATACTGTCACAAGCACTAACATTTTATTTCACCTTAAAATTTATTTTAAATGCCTAATTATGAGCCTCATTCTTTTTAAAACGCTTTGTGGTAAAATATACTATTGAGCACTTAAAGTTCTTCACCTTTCACCTACAGAGATATAGACTGAATTCCGGAATTCGAAGACGAACTAAGGTACCGGATATCGGGTAACGAAAGTGCATTTATTATTTATATCAGTATTATTTGAAGAAGGTTGACGTTTATACTCTCAAAATAGTAATATTATGATTGCGTAATATTGCGGTGTGACACAAGGAAATATTTATTCGCATTGTTCCAAATCGAAGAGAGGATTCAGAAATGTAAACACCGCATTATTTTCCAGCCGTTGTCTCCATAAAGGCGGCTACACACACTCCAACAAGTTGATCCTCTTCAAATCCGCGTCGGAATTGATGCGTGTCACGGGCGGGCGCGCGGTAAATGACGTGTGGTGACGCGTTTTACGTCACGCAACGTCATTATCGGAATCTGACGCAAACAAGCGCCGATAAGGACCTGCTCGGGGCTGAGAGAGCTCTCTATACACAAGGCCTGACCTGGTTTTGGGTGTTTTCGCTTTTGAGGGTTATAAATTGGTAAAATAAACCAAGTATTACAAAATTTTACGAGTAGGTATACAAGATATTTTACAAGGGTAAAATTTTTTAAAAAAAAGCAATAAAAACAAAGCCTTTTTATAAATGTGAATAACTTGCACCGTAAGAATATGCTTACGGTGCAAGTTACTCACATTTATTATATACCGTTTACCTGTTTTTTTTTTTTAAATTTGTCTTACTGTGTGTTTATCATTATAGAGCAAGTGTGTCTTACTATTATAGAGCAAAAAACAGAACGACAATACGGCTGTAAGTGGTATCTCCCAACAGCAATGACGGTTTATAAGAGAGAGGCCCACAAAGAGTGTAGCGGATTGTGATATTGGAAATAAGTACATTGTGTGTTACAAATTACTTGCGCGGCAGATAAATCGAGCGCTTTGCTTGTAACTGAGCCCGGAAGCAGGCGCCGTTTTTCTTTCTTACTTTGTCAAAGATATCTTTCCATATCGTGGAAGGGATAGGCAGCCGTATTCCCTGTGTACTGTACTGTATTGCACATCAGTATCTAGTTGTTTATGTTTCTGGCACTTGGAAGTGAGTCTATCCGCTCACGCGATACATGCAGCCGTAGACGCATACCACACCTAGAGGTGCCGGTGATGATTTTATACCGATTTATCGGATATCGAAGTTATAACAAGTAAAAGAACTAATATTAATTGCTATATCATGGCTATATCGGTAACTACTCTAGCAAACCATAAAGTTTTTAATGCCTGGGACTGTCATTTAAAAAACATAAACAACTTCAAAAATATGTCACGACAATCGTGTGTGTTATTGTTTGGGCTGGTGATTTCGGTGTTTATTTATTGAAAACATACCGTAAGTAGCGTTTTTTAAGTTTACCCTGAATATAAATGTTTATAAACTATACTTTAAGGAATAATTTCATGGTAAACGTTAGAACCACTCAAACGGAATATTATCATATTTATCCAAGTACACCAAAAATTTCATTAGTGCTTTTTAAGTGCAGGATTTGCGGTGTATTACTGCATTTTATTTGAGATGTATTTAGCAATGCAGAATAATAATTTTTATTTATAAAAACTTGTATTTAAACTGAATGCTTTTCTAATTTGCGAAACCACATAGCCGCCATTTTGCAGTAGGAGGAGCGCATTGCGTGAGCGGCTATAGATTTTACACTTAATCATATGAAATTATAACTTGTTTGGCGAATTCTTGATTGAATAACTCACAACTACATATAAATGATGGCAGTATTAGATTGAAATTATTGAACAATATTTTTTAATACAAAGTGACGGGACGAACTAGTCGTGCGTCTGGTGGTATGCTAGACGCCTGTCCATAACAGTTGCAGTGCCACTCAGAGCTTTGAATCGCAACGATCTGAGGGGCACTGCCACTGCACCTGACACCCTGAGACATAAAGTGACGAGTCCCATGTGCCTATAATTTCACCAGCACATTTACCCTTCAAAACCGGAACACAGTAATGCTAACATTACTGCTTGGCGGCAGAAATTGGCAAGGTGGCAGTACTTTTATGGACGAACTCTTTCACAAGAAGCTCTACTGCTACTAAATTTATTAATGGATTTTAACAAAATCGCATTATACGATTAAAGCAGATATTCGTTTCAAATACATTTATCTACAAACATACAGCGTGATGCTTAGTAAGAGTTTTAATGCCATAAAAATCTGCTAGATGGTATTTACCCGTTTGACGTAATTTCTGAATTGCGATGTTAATATTTTCCCTTCGTTGCCACTAGTTCTGTTGAATAGTCCTATTATAGAATGACTGGTACTTTTCTTGTCGCAGTTGTAGATTTTCCCGCGCCGAATGACTGACTTGCGTAGAATTGCCAAAAGCATATTTACCTGACACGGGGAAATCCGTGATCAAATAGGCGGTTCCCGCAAAGCGAAGTTCCGCCGTTGCACTGCGGTCCATTTGACTATACTAACTCTGTATCTCTGGCGGTAACTCTGGCGCTTAATTTTTGGTAGTGGAATGTGAGTGATAAAAATGTTAATCTTGCAAAAACACACATGTTACGTTTACACAATATGCTGTGCTTTATTACTATATAATAAAATTTTGAATAAATACATTTTCAATACACAACCTCCTCGGGTCCGCAGTTGCTATAATCGCCGCCATCTCCATACAACCTATCAGATGGGAACGTATCAATCAATCAAATAATAATCAGCTAATTTATTTGTCAGAACAAGTGCGATATGCTGCCCGATGTAAACAGTACGCTCTTATTTTAATTAAATCCATGTTGTACCACAGTTTAACCATATACGAGTATTATGTTATTCAATTATTTACTATAATTACTCATTAAGCCGGGTTCTCACTAGCGAACCGTTGCATGTTATGTTTATACTACTCTCTATTCGTTCCGATGTCAGTCGTAGTCCAGCTACTGGCCGCAAGATGGCAGCACGTTAGCAATGGTATTGAACTTTCAAAGATGTAACGATTGAGTAAAGTTTAAATTATATTACCAGTCCAGAACTTGTTACGTCTGCTAGAAACTACAACCAATCATTATCAAGATTTCCTTGTGTTCATCATTTGTTTGTGTGCGTTTTGGCGATTTTGGTTCTGTTAGTAATCGAGGTTTATGGCACTTCCATTGTATTTTTCTTCCGTGGTTTCACGCGTACCTACGTATGGCATGGCACCTCTTACTATGTGTGTCACGTTACAGTTACACCTCGCTAATGAGTAGCGAGTTAAAGCCGAGTGCTTTAATTATCAAATACAAATGTAATTTAAACTGAAGATACTTAATATAAATATAATAAAGTAAAGCAAAAGATATAAAAATAAATTCACAAATATGATATATGAAATACGTCAATTATTAAGTGTCAAACTTGGCAATCTGTTTGACTTTCTATAAGCCTTATGGCCTTATGCCGCACACAACAGCTTATAAGTATAGTGTAACAAAAGGAGCGAATATGTTTCAGCTGATGCGTACTCATGATAACAGAATCAGGCGTCTCTTAGATCATGTATAGACTGCTTATATTTTGTTTAGTCATTTTAGAATAAGAACTTTTTATTCTACTATGGTTAGTGGTGATTAGTTTATATGTATTTGACGATTATTGTATATGTTTTAGAAGTTCGCTTCTTTACTGGCCACAAGCATTAGTCCCACACGTAGTCGTTGGGGATGTTTTTTAATGACTTCATTTGCGATTCTGTTTAAAATTACCCATCGACGGAACCGAAACACGCGGGAGGCGAGGTGGAACAAACTTAATCTTATGTCTCCCTTTCTCTTCTATTTTATTTCTTCTTCTTCTGTAAAATATATAAAAAAATCATACACGTTTCGTTATGGAAATCAGAAGCAGCGATGATACCACAAACACTCAGACTCGTCACAATATACAAAAGTTAGATTTACTACATTGACCCGGCCGGAGATCAAACCCAGGGCCTCAGAGATGGCGACACTTATGATAAATACCCATGTTTTATATACAGCTATTAGAGCGCTATTGAACCTTACAAAAAACTCTGGCGACAAAACCATCGAGTAGATAGAGGGCGAATGGCCCATTCGCAACACAATAATAGGCAATACACGCTGTAGCGCGTTCCGGCACATGTACATAAAAGTATATGTTAGATAAATCTGGGACTCTTGAGATTGTAGGGCCAGCAGTGAGATGTAAGGGCCATTATCTACAAAAGCCGAGCGAAAAAGACCTATGTTTTTATTCTACAGTATAATGAAAATATTATATTATTCTATTGAAATATTGTTGATTAGGGCATTTCTCCTAAAAGGGCTAAGTTTCTGACTTCAGTGGTCAATTTTTTTTTTTAATTTCAGGTATAAACATTCATCGGGAAGAAAAAACAACTCAAACTTACTTAATATTCCGTTAAGTGGGCTACTAGATTCTTAACAGTTAATGACAAATTTGACCCACCGATCTCAGCTACCGCCGAAATCAGAATAATTTAACAGAAGGCATAGCGTTTGCATAACATTTTACGAAAAAGGCAATAAAAACATTCCATAATCTACATAAACCTTTACTAATATGACTAACTATTAAATCAAGCTTTAAAAACTAAAAACTAAAATTTGTTTATAAATCAACCAGGCGCAAATAAATTTCACCTTATGATTATTAATTAAACTTAGTTTTCAGTTTTGGATGTTCAACCGTTTTTAATCACACAAAGTATTTCCATATCTCTGTTTAAAAAAAAATTATAACGCAATCTGTACCTATAAAAACAATATTTTTTTGGAAATTGCGGGATTATAGTCTTTCATTACTTTTTATACATGACGAGGTAATTTAAGTAACTTCAAAATCTTTCCTTCCATTTTTTCTTCGCATACCTCTTTCTATCTTTTTCTTTAAGCCTTTCATATATAATTAGATCATCTTCTTGATTTCCATTTTTTCTTTTCTGTTTTGATTTTCCTTATTTTCACCGAGAAGCAAGTACTATTATGAAATTGTGAAAATCGATGATATTAACTGAACATTTACATGAAAAAACATATAAAATTCTTATTTGTCAAAGAAAATATGGCCTTAATGGCAGTTTTTTTTCGACTTTCGACTTTGGTGGGTTTTCTGAATAAAATCCATCGAAACAAAGGTCATATTCAGAAAATACATATTACGTCAGGATTCAGAAAATACATATTACTTTCATATTACTCGTAAACAATAATACTTGTAAAACCAATAAATTGTTATTATGTTCTAGTTGTTAAAACATATATTATAAAAAATATTACATACAACCATAAAATTTAGTTTTTGAAATATTGTATACACAGAATTCAAAAATTAACCTGGACCAAATTCGCCGAATTAGATATTTACACGCAAAAAGCCCTAAAATCGGCAACAAATCATCCATCTGTTCTGTCATATAATAAGAACGAACTGTGAAGCTTCTGAAATGATTCACTTATGATGTGGAGCGTGATTAGTAACGGCCACCGAATTCCCGCGTAAGCGTTGGACACGCAGCAATCTTGGTATTGTGATAAAACTATTGTCTAGTTTATTGTGAAATTCAGATTATAAGTACTATAATCTAATTTGTTATACGTGAACTAAAGTGTAATGTTGATACACAGTTTCAATTTTGAGAAAAATGACACTTTGTGTTGGATTCTGCATTCGGGACACGCCACTGTTGTCAGGTTTTGGGCATTTCGGATTTTTTTCCATTATGTCCGAAAGGTTTGTTGGGTAGATTTTGTGCTCTCCGGTTAGCTTTCGACCTATATTATACACTCTATTTTTTGTAGATTTTTGTATTGATAAATAAGTGGAGCTTAGTGCATGGACACAGAAAATAGCGGCTTTGAAGAAATGCCCATTACTGAAACACATCGTTGAATTTGTTGTTGAAAAGTTGAAAATATTTAACACAAATCCTATACAAAAATTATATCATCACAACATGTGTTTATTTCCAGATTTATTCTGTTTCTTGGATTTCTGTATAATAAATTAAACGTCAAATTGGCCATATATATTTTTTATTACCTAAATTCTCTAACAAGTTTTTCAAATTATGTCCTATGATGATACAGAGAATTTATTAATTTTATTATCCCAAAATAAATGTTGTCTAATTTAAGCGTATAGATATATGAATAGCATTTTATTGTTTATTATTCTTTTGTTTATAATTTAATATCCACATGTATAATTAGTAGTTTTTATACTCCATACAACTATTTATTTAACATTAGACAGCTCGAATTCTAATCAATTAGTGATGTCCTAATGCGTTTCCAATTCGATTTTTTATAACAATCGGTTTTATTTATGAAGAAGATTTGATCGTGAATGTGAGAGGGTTCAAAAAAGAAGATTGTCTGTCAGGATCGTGACATGTTTGACAATTTGTGTACTCAAGAATTAATAATTAGTGTTAATGAGGATTCAATTGATGATTCCCGTTCATAATATGAAGAAGAATCCGACGATTCATTATAATAAACAATAAGAATGTAATGTAAATTTATAATTTATTTAATTTCATTACAATTTATTAGACAGGTACCAAAATACATAATCTGTTGGCTCGATAAATATCGAAGCTATAGAGTACATCGCTTCACTAAAATTAAAAATAAAACAGACCAGAAAGTAATGCATTTTTTATCTATGGTTGTATGTCAATAATTACGGAACTTCGAAGGTAAGTATATGTCAAAAGTGAAATAAATGGTAAGAGGAGTATACCTACCCGAAATATAGAATTCTCCTAGTTTAGGTACATGTGTTGTATTTTACATTGATTCGCATAATTAGTCTATAGTTATTCCTTTGTACAATAAAATATTCAACAAACAATTTTATTTTTATTTTTTATTTTATATTAAATACGTGAATTACATGTTGATATCTGGGTTATTACAAGCATCCACATCCACATCCGCAGATAATTTAAAATTTCCACATCAGCTTCCGAAGTCATCGATGCTTGAACGCTATAACTTGGGCCTTTTGCAATGCAAGACTGAATAGGTATAATAATAGGTGTGCATGCTCCATCACTTCACTATTCATCATCACTTTCCATTAGGTGGGATGGAGGTATCGAGTATATAACCAGAAATGGAGAGGAAATGTCATTTAATTTGTTTTCAAATCATTACAGGTAACAACTGCGTTCCGATTGGCCAGTCAGAATTTGAAACAATTGACGGGTGTCGACTTCACTTAAAATCGACCACTTTAACTCGAGCTTACTCGGTGTTTCTGATTTTTACCATAAGAAAAACTGTCTTTTATAGTAAATATATATTGCGATGAAATTGCATTGGACCAGCGCGACGGACTGCCACATAAACCTGTACACAATACCCGTAAACATTTATCATTTAATAAAGATATCTAAAATAATAAAAGAGTATACGCACGTTGGTTACAAACATAAAATTTATCAGGGCGAATGTTACAAGTGTGTAGCCGCAGAACATAAAAAAATATCGTACTGTAATGTTGAGTCACGC